GGGGGTACCCGGGGGTGTCCTGGGGGTGGCCGGGGGTACCTGGGGGTGTGCGGGTGTACATGGGGGTGTCCGGGGGTACCTGGGGGTGTCCGGGGGTACCTGGGTGTACATGGGGGTGTCCGGGCTGGGTGTCCCGGGGGTGTCCGGGTGTACATGGGGCTGTCCAGGTGTACCTGGGTGTACATGGGGGTGTCCGGGGGTACCTGGGGGTGTCCGGGCCGGGTGTCCGGGGGTGTCCGGGTGTACATGGGGCTGTCCAGGTGTACCTGGGTGTATGCAGGGGTGTCCGGGTGTACATGGGGCTGTCCAGGTGTACTTGGGTGTACATGGGGGTGTCCGGGGGTACCTGGGGGTGTCCGGGCCGGGTGTCCGGGGGTGTCCGGGTGTCCTGGGGCTGTGTGCGACTGTTGCGGCGCAGTGGAACACCCGGGCCAAGCGGGAGAAGCTGACGGAGCTCATGTTCGAGCACTACAACATCCCGGCCTTCTTCCTGTGCAAGACGGCTGTGCTCACCGCGTATCCCGCTACAGCGCGCGGCCGCGGGCGCCGGCCCCGATCCCCATGGGAATGGCACAAATTCCCGGGAAATTGCCCCAATCCCCTTGGGAATGGCCCCGATTCCCGGGAAATGGCCCTGATCCTCTTGGGAATGACCCAAATTCCAGGGAAACGGCCCTGGTCCTGCGGGAATGGTCCCGATCGCACTGGGAATGGCCCCCATCCCACTGGGGATGATCCCGATTCCCGGGAAATGGCCCCGAGTCCCAGGAAATTGCCCCGATTCCCAGGAGATGGCCCCAATCCTGTTGGAAATGGTCCCGATTCCTAGGAAATGGCCCCGATCCTATTGGGAATGGTCCCGATCGCACTGGGAATGGCCCCCATCCCACTGGGAATGATCCCGATTCCTGGGAAATGGCCCCAATCCTGTTGGGAATGGCCCTGATTCCCAGGAAATGGCCCCGATCCTGTTGGGAATGACCCCCATTCCCGGGAAATGGCCCTGGTCTTGTGGGAATGGCCCCGATCCTGTTGGGAATGGTCCCAATTCCACTGGGAATGGCCCCAGTTCCTGGGAAATGGTCCTGATCCCATTGGGAATGACCTCAATCCCACTTGGAATGACCCGAAATCCCAAGACATGACCCCGATCCCGTTGGGAATGGCCCCGATTCCCAGGAAATGGCCACGATCTTGTGGGAATGGCCCTGATCCCGTTGGGAATGGCCCCAATTCCTGGGAAATGGCCCCGGTTCCCAGGAAACGGCCCCAATCCCATTGGGAATGGTCCCAATTCCACTGGGAATGGCCCCAAATCCCAGGACATGACCCCGATCCCGTGGGGAATGGCCCCAATTCCCGGGAAATGGCCCCAATCCCATGGGAATGGCCCTGATCCCACCGGGAAGAGCCTCAAATTCCCCCGGCCCCTCCCCTAATTCCCACTGGAGGCCCCAAATTCTCCCCCTCATTAACCCCCCTAATTAACCCCCCAGCTCATTAACCCCCCTCATGACTCCCCCCATTGACCCCCTCCCTCATTACCCAGCTCATTAACCCCTTAATTAGCCCTTAACTGGGGCAGCTTCGCCAACGGGCGCAGCACGGGGCTGGTGCTGGACAGCGGCGCCACCCACACGACGGCCATTCCCGTGCACGACGGCTACATCCTGCAGCAGGGTGCGC